CGCTCCGGACGCGCACACCCCGCGAAGCAAGAGGAGTCTTCGGGAACTGCCCGAAACCGACACCCCTCGCAAAAATTAGTGCGGCGGAGGACCCAACCATAGGCAGCTGCGAGCGCCGCATCTGCGAATGTCCTCGGCAGAGCTCCTCGCGGAGGCGCGAGCGAACCGCGCGAGGTGCGCGCCATAGTGGGGCGGCGGCGGAGCTCCCTATAGGGCCTTCGGCGTGGCCCCCTCTGACCGCGATTTGTTGGATGGGGGGTGGCGAGAAAAGCTGCGCCGCCGCAGATTGCCCGCCCCATTTTCTCCACCCTCTGCGCCCGCGCGCTCCTAATCCCAAGGCTGCGGGGGAAGCGCGTCGCTGAACCCCCGCGACGCGCGTTGGTCGCCCCGAAGGGGTCCCGGCGACGCGCGCGGGTCGCCCGCTGCGCGGAGCAAAGAGAGCTAGCTCGCTGGCCGATTGCAGACAAGGCTCCGGCTGCCAGGCAGAGCGACGACAGGCGAACGATGTGCTGGGCAGAGTGCAGCACGGAGTTCCCGCGACGCGCGCTGGCCGCTCCGAGAGGGCCCCATCGACGCGCGCGGGTCGTTCGCGGCGCGGGGCCAAACAGTCAGACCGTCGAGAGAAGGCGAGGCTCGGGCGGGCCGCTCCCCTGTTCAGGCCTCGCAGATAAACTCGGTGAAGCCCAGCTCCCTGGCGAGGGCCGTCGCCTCCCTCCGGCACCGCTTCGCGCGCGCCGTTAAAACTGTTCCAGCTGCTTCCGCAAGCCCTCCAGCGGCCCCGCCAGGAAGAACTCGATCCGCGGCGCCCGCATGAGCACGAGGCCCTGCTGGCGCGTGGCGCGCGACAGCAGCGCGTAGAGCTCCAGCCACCAGTCATCGTCCTCCTTCTTGCCGTTCCTGGCCCCGACCTCGTGGCGGCCGCAATCCAAGATCACGCCTGGGCGACGTCGGCCGAAGGAGCGGCGCGCCAGACAGCCGACGGCCCCGGGCGAGACTCTACAGGACCGAAGGAAAATCTGGTTGCGGACCGCTCGCGCCCAGGCCATGGGGCCACGAAGCGTGTGAAAGGTGTGCTCCCTATGGGACCCCGAAACGTTGTACTGGGCGCAGGAACCGCATGCGAGTTCCACCACTGGGACCTTCGGTGGAGCTCCCCATGCGAGTTCCACCACCGGGACCTTCGGTGGAGCTCCCTGGGGAACCACGAAACGCTGCAGTGGGCGCAGGAACCGCATGCGAGTTCCACCACTGGGACATCCGGTGGAGCTCCCTATGGGCCCACGAAACACCGCACTGGGCGCAGGAACCGCATGCGAGTTCCGCCACTGGGACCTTCGGTTGAAGTCCCTATGGGGCCACGAAGCGCTGTACTGGGCAAATGAATCGCATGCGAGTTCCGCCGCTGGGAACTTCGGTGAAGCTCCCTATGGGGCCACGCAACGTTGTACTGGGCGCAGGAACCGCATGCGAATTCCGCCACTGAGACCTTCGGTGGAGCTCCCTATGGGGCCACGAAGCGCTGTGCTGGGCGCAGGAGCCGCATGCGAGTTCCGCCACTGGGACCTTCGGTGGAGCTCCCTATGGGGCCACGAAACGCTGTGCTGGGCGCAGGAGCCGCATGCGAGTTCCGCCACTGGGACCTTCGGTGGAGCTCCCTACGGGGCCAAGAAGCGCTGTACTGAGTGGGGGAAACGCAGGGAGGAGGGAGGAAGGGGAGGAGGAAGGAGGAGGAGGAGGAGGAGGAGACGCGGGACGCTATCTCTTCAAAACGAGGGCCCAACACCACAGGATGGTTGGAAAAAAATCCCCAGGGGCCGCCCCGAAACCGGCTCCCCCCCGCCCTACCCCTCCCTGGCCCTAATCCCCCCACCGCAGGAACCTAGAGAGCCAGAACCCAGCCCCCCAGGGCAAGGGGTGGGGTCGGACAACCCCGCCCCGCCCCCCCTTGCTCGTTGGAAGCAAACGACGACGGCGAGCACCAGCGAAGGAAGACGACGACGACGACGAAAACTACAAACACGACGACGACAAAGACGACAAAGACGACAAAGACGACGACGGACGATGAACGATGGACGAAGGGCGACGACCGACGGACGAAAGACGACGGACGACTGACGAAGGACAGGAACGACTACGACGCGGGCGGGCAGGTCGTCGATCGGGCAAACCCAAAAAGGCGTGTCGGATCGGGCGAACGGACCCTAACGGGCGGGTCGGGTCGGACGGGCGGGACAATAAAGTGGCACGTAAGAAACCTGAACGGGCGGGTCCGCTCGGGTGGGCGTGACATTATAGTATGATGCATGATAGAATTGGCACGTAAGAACCCGAACGGGCGGGTCGGGTTGGGCGGGCGGTCTCTAAGGGGAGGGTCGGGTCGTACCAGCGGGACGCCAAATTATGATACATAGTCGAACTGTCATGTAAGAACCCTAACAGGCGGGTCGGGATGGGCGGCTGGACCCTGACGAGCGGGTCGGGGCGGGCGGGCCGGACACTGAAGTATGACGCGTAACCTGATGGGCACGTAAGAACCCTAAAGGGCGGGCCGGGTCGGTCGGGCGGATCCTAATGGACGGGTCGAAGCAGGCGGGCAGGATATTCAAGTATGATCGAGCTGGCACTGAAGAGCCCGAGCAGGCGGGTCAGGTCGGGCGCGCAGACCATGATGGGCGGGTCGGAACGGGCGGGCGGTCCCTATCGGGCGGGTTGGGCTGGTCGGGCGGGACACTGAAATAAGATGCGTAATCCAACTGGCACGTGCGAAACCTAACGGGCGGGTCGGGTCAGGCGGGCCGACCCTAACGTGCTGGTCGGGTCAGACGGGTTGGACATTCAAATCTAACGCATAATCAAACTAACGCGCAACAGCCCTCACAAGCAAATCGGATCGGGCAGCTGGATACTAACCGGCGGGTCGGGTCGAGCGAGTGGGAAAGTCAAGTAGTGAAATGCAAAATCGGATTGGCACGTGAACCGTCGTCGGTCGTCGTCGTCGCCATCGTCGTTGTCGTCCCCAAGTCGCCGTCTGCGTCGTCGGTCGTTGTCGTCGTGTCGTTCGACGTCGTCGCTATCGTCCGTCGTCCGTCGTCCACAATCGTCGTCGTTGTCTTCGTCATCGTCATCGTCCTCAAATCCTCAGTCATTCGTCATCGTCGCCGTCCGTCGTCCGTCGCCCGTCGTTGTCCGTCGTTCGACGTCATCATAAGCGCCGTCGTGTCGTTGGTCGTCGTCATTGATCGTCGTTCGACGCTCGTCCTTCAACGTTCGTCGTTCGTCATTCGTCATCGTCGTCGTAATCGTCGTATCGTCGTCGTCCGTCGTCCGTCGTCAGAGTCATCGTCGTCGTCGCCCATACTCTCTTGTTGTTGTTGTTGTTTTCGTCGTCGTCATCGTCGTCCGTCCTTCGTTGTTGCTGACGTCGTCGTCGTCGGTCGTCGTCGCCGTCGTTTGTCGGTCGTGGTTCGTCGGTCGTCGTCGTCGTCGTCGCCGTCGCCATCGCCTCGTCCGTCGTCCGTCGTCCGTCGTCCATCGTCCGTACCCGTCACCCATCGTCCGTCATCCGTCGTCCGTCCCCCGTTGTCGTCGTCGCGTCGTCGTGTCGTCGTCCGTCGTCCGTCGTTATCGTCCGTCGCCCGTCGTCCGTCGTGCGTCGTCCGTCCACGTCGTCAGTCGTCGTCGTCGTCGTCGTCGTCCGATCGGAGTTGCTGTCGTCGCTGCCGTCGTCGGTCGTCGTCGCCGCCATTCGACGTTTGTCGCCCGACGATCGTTGTACGTCGTCGTCGTCCGTCGCCCGTCGCCCGTCCACTATCGTCCGTCGTCCGTCGTCGTCGTTCGTGGTCGTTGTCGTCCTTCATTCGTTGATGCTGTCGTCATCGTCGTCGGTCGTCGTCACCGTCGTTCATCGGTGGTCAGTCGTCGGTCGTCGTCGTCGTCGTCGCCATCTCCGTCGCTCTCGTCCGTCGTCCGCTGTCCGTCGTCCGTCGTCCGTCGTCCGTCGCCCATGGTCCGTCGTCCGTCGCCAGGCGACCGTTGTCGTCGTTGTGTCGTCGTGTCGTCGTGTCGTCGTCGTCGTCGTCCGACATCAGTCGTCCATCGTCCGTCGTCCGTCGTCGTCGACTTTAGTCGTCGTCGTCGTCCTGGTCCGTCGTTCGTTGTTGCTGTCGTAGTGGTCGGTCGTCGTCACCGTCGTTCGTCGTTCGTCGTTCGTCGTTCGCCTTCCGTCGTCCGTCGTCCGTCGTTCGTCGTCGTCGTCGTTGTCATCGCCTCCGCTGCCGCCGCCGCCGCCGCCACCGTCGTCGTCGTCGTGGTCGTCGTCGTCGTCGTCGTCATCGTCGTCGTCAGAGTCGTCAGAGCCGTCAGAGTCGTCAGAGCCGTCAGGGTCGTCGTCGTCGTCCGTGTCGTCGTCGTCGTCGTCCGTGTCGTCGTCGTCGTCCGACGTCCGTCATCGTCGTCATTATCGTCGTCACCGTGATTATCGTCGTCGTTGTCAGAGGTCGTCGTCGTCGTCGTCATGATCGACGTCGTCGACATCGTCGTCGTCGTCGTCAGAGTCGTCGTCGTCGTCGTGGTCATGGTCGTCGTCGTCGCCGACGTCGTTAAACGTCGTCGTCGTCGCCTCGTGGTCGTCGTCGTCGTGGTTGTCGTCGTCTTCCAGCTCCGGTGCTCGCAGTCGTCTCTTGCCATCAGCGGGTCGGCAGAGGAGCGGGGGCGGACCCCCCCCCCCTTCCTTCTGCACCAGGCAAGGGTCTGGGACCCTCCCCTCGCGCCGGGGGGTAAGGTTTGCAACGCCCTCCCCCTCCCGTGCCAGTGCACACAGAGGGCGCTCTTAATACATATCTCCACCGCCCCTGGCCAGGTTCATCCTGGGCCCAGGAGCGGTGCATATGTCCCCCTGCCTTGACCAGGGAGGCATATGCACCGACCCTGGGCCCTGGATGGGCCTAGCCAGGGGCGGTGGATGTGATCTCGCAGCGCGGGGGAAGGCGTCGGCCGTCCTTCTTGCCTTTGGCCAGCATGTTCTCCATGAGCTGCAGGACTTTCTGCACTGGCGTGACCTCGCCCTCGGTAGCGACGGCTGCCCAGGCCAGCAAGAGCGCGAGCAGGGCGGAGGCCGGCATCTTCATTGCGACGGCCGTGTGTCTACGATTGGACTGAAGCCGCAGCCTATGGACGCGCCCCTGGGCCTTCGATTCACGCGCGCGGGCGGGCAGCGCGCTCCAGCTGGCCACCTTCTTCCCGCCCTCGTCGCCTCCCGCTTCACCCCCTCTCCATGTCGATAACCTTCCTGTTCAACCTGCACTATCATCACCACCGTCGCCTTTGCCTCTGCGAGTCCATCTTGGTCCTCGCCGAAGAATTTGCCAAGCCCTGGGGCACCAGTGCCAGAGGTGACTGCACCACCACAAGGGGGCTCGACTCTCGCGATGCGAGGAGGCGGCACCGTGCCACGAGGTATGCCCTGCGGAGAATCACGCTGTTTTTGCAAATCGTTCACTGCTGCTTGTGAATGGCCGTGGGCACAAGCGAAGCGCGTGAGCACTTTGACCTTCTGCCGCTTCTCCAAAGGCACGCACGTGCCCCCCCTCATCTGTACAGTTGGGAATCGCTCGGCCGTGGGGGCGCACGAGGCCCAGATGCTTCCTAGACATCCCAAGAAGGCCGTGGAAGGCCCACGAGTCCCTGCAGACGACTCAAGAGGCCCACGAAAAAGGCTCCAAGAGAGGTCACAAACAGCGAGAAGCAATGAAAGACCTTCAGGTGATCCGCTGCGCTGCTTCTTCCCGATCCGTTCGGCCATACATAGCCACACAAGAGCTCGAGAGTGTTCAAGAACGCCCGAGATGGCTCAAGGGGCCCAAGTACTTCCAAGACGGCGCACGAAGGCCCCTGAAGGCGTCGTGCTTGTCTTCCTGGTCCTCCCTGTCCTCCTCATCCTTCTCTTCCTCCTCCTCCTCCTCCTCTTCCTCCTCCTCCCTCATTGTCCTGCGGTGTCTTTCTTGTCGGAGTCTTCATCCTGAACCAACGCCTGCAGGAACCAACCGCAGTATCAAACCAGTACGAAGCCCGAAATAACACCGACACACGAGGCCCACACAAGCTTCGCGCCCACAATTGGCCCCACGAAGCGCGCGATGGGGCCCCGAGGTATGACACGATGCCCAAGTTCCAAAATCCTAAATAGGATTCCCGACGGGTCCCTGATCCACTCCTCTCCGAGGAAAGCGGCAATGGACAACGGGGGTGATACAAGGCGCGAGCGTGATGCGCGACATATCTGACCCAGGGCCTTCCAGCAGCATCGCTGCTGTCACGCGGCGATGCGCGCCGCTGGTCACCGAGGTAACCAAACGGGAAACCCTTGCCTCTCAATAGTTGTCATTGATCCACAGTTGCAGGGGCCCGCCGCTGTCGCACGAATCCCACCAGCCCTTCAGGGCCTGAGTGGCTTAGAGAGCTTCCTCTTACATCTTCCCTCTTCCCTTTCGGGGAGGGGTTTACCCCTCCCCCCCTCCCCCCTCCCCCTGGAGCTGGACGGGGCGTTCCGCGAGGCGTTGGAGCGTCCAAGATGGCCTCGGCGAGTTGGCCAAACTCATTGATGTGACTACGGTTGTGCCCACAGTTTGGCCGCCTGGGGGGGGGGCGTCGCTAATTTAGCACGGCCCGTCATTTGATCGATCTCCTCCAAGATGGCCCCTAAGGCTCCCAAGGGTGCGCCAAGATGGCCCCAAGAGGCGCCCAGGAGGCCGCAAGAGGCCCCAAGAGGCCTTCCTGAGGCATCCAAGACGCCCCAAGAGGCCTCGGCGAGACGGCCAACTTCATTGACTGTACTAAGGTTTTGGCCAAATGCTGGCCTCGAGGGGGGGAGACCCTCATCAAGGAGTCCCCCTCCTTCGACCGATCTCCTCCAAGATGGCCTCAAGATGGCCCCAGAGGCTTCCAAGGGTGCGCCAGGACGGCATCAAGAGGTGCCCAGGAGGCCTCAAGAGGCACCCAAGATGCCCCCAAGAGACTCCCACGAGATCCCCATGGGGCTCCAAGAGGCCCCCCCAGAGGCACCCACGACGCCGAAGCCCAAACTCATTCGTTGTACTATGGATTTGACGCCACGCCTTGGCCTCCTGGGGGGGGGGGGCTAATTTATTACGGCCCGTCCTTTAATTGATCTCCTTCAAGATGGCCCTAAGATGGCCCTAGAGGTTCCCAAGAGTGCCCCAAGACGGCCCCAAGAGGTGCCCAAGAGGACCCCCAACAGGCCCCCAAGAGGCTCCCCACAGGCACCTAAGACGCCCCAAGAGGCCCCTAGGGGACTGCCAAGAAACCTCCTAGACGCCCCAAGAGAACTCCAAGAAACGCTCGAAAGACATCCAGAGAGACTCCGAGAGGCATCATGAGGCCTCTGGCCGTTCTGCTCGCCCTCCACCTCCTCCACTTCCTCATCCGCCTATTCCTCCTCCTTCCTTCTCCCTCCTCCCCCTCCCCCTCTCACCACTCATCCTCCTGCTCCTCCGAGTCCTCCTCCATCCTCCCCCTCTGGGGGTATGACGTCTCACCCAGCCCTCCACACCACTGCATCCTCCTCCACATCCCTGATCGGGGCAACTCGTCTGGGCATCGTTTCTGGATGGGCTGGTGGGGGTACTTTTGGTAGGCCCGGCCAGACAGGGGCCACGACCTGCCGAACCAGTGCACCCAACAAGCCCACGCATGCACCAGGGAGAGCCCAAGGGGCCACAAGAGAAGCCCCCGAAGTACGACGAAGCCAGGAAGAGAGCAAAATCGGATAAGGATAGATCGAGAATCTCTGAGATCCAGCGGATCCGGAGGATGTCTCGGGCGCCGCGGCCTCCGCTCTGGAACGGACTTATCCTCGTTCAGCCTCCTCTCAACACGTCCAGCTTGTCCGCTGCCTCTGGCCCTCCTGGGGACGAACAGCTGCGAGGAAACGACGGAGAGGGCCCCACGACGAGCCCGCATTGAGCAGCAAACTCTTCTTTGCCTTTCTCCTCGGCCCCCTCTCTAGAACTACCCCTGGGCCCTCCCCAAAGGCCGCCCTGAGAACCCCCCTGAAGGCTACCCAGACACCCCCGCATAGCCCGACCGATCAAACTGACGGGATCGGCGAACGTGGCGCAAGAGAGATGAATCGTTCGAAACCGACTGACCTCCACCATACCCATGCACTTCATCACCGCTATGCTCGATTCATGCTCGCTGTCACAAAGTTCATTATGCTCTCCAGATTCTGCTCATCCTAATCTGCGTCGCTGTGTCTGTCCACCCTCTGTTCCTATCCAAATTCGTAGGTGCTCAATCGTTCGGTACAGCGTGGAAATTCACTACATCCACACCACCATTGCACATAATGTCATGACATATCCTCGCAGAAGAGTCTCATGTCGCCACTGGCCTCTGAAAGGTGTGGCCACTATTCCCAGCTGTTACCATGGCCTGTCGACTGGGTCTGATTTGCACGTCCACGTCTGGACACGGCCGCTGCCGAGTCTCTGAGTCCCTGGTCCTGGCCACACACAAACAAGAGTTGCACATTGTTTGGCTTACCACTGCCTCCGCCGCCGTCGCCGTCGCCGTTGCTGCAAGTCTCAGCCTACACCTTGCATGGCCAGGCCGAGTCAGAGGCAAGCGAAAACAAAGCCAAACCGAGCCGCACAGATATCATTCATTCTCTGTCTCCAAAAACCGGGTTACCCCCCACACGAAACTGCACGCTGATAGCATGGATCCGATCTAGATCATCATCAGCAGCATCAGCCGCATCACCATCAGCAACATCATCATCATCATCATCATCATCATCATCATCATCAGCAGCAGCAGCAGCAGCACCACCACCACCAACATCGTCGTTGACATCATCGTCATCATCATCAGCCGCATTATCATCCTCATCATCATCAGCAACAGCAGCATCACCAACATCGTCATCACCAGCATCATCATCATCCCACACTCCTCGTTCCTGTTCCTCCCCATCTTCCTCCTCATCCTCCTCATCATCGTCATCATCAGCAGCAGCATCAGCAGCAGCATCAGCATCAGCATCTACAACAGAATGTGCAAGTCTGCATTTTCAGCTTCAGAACCCCCATCTGTCTCCTCATCCTCACACCCCGCATAATCAGCGTAATCACTATCACCACCACCACCAACAACAACCATCGTCATCATCATCCTCATCATCATGATCATCATCATCATCATCACCACCACGACTATCACCATCTCAACACCACCACCACCACCACCACCGCAACCACCATAAGCATAATCATCATTATCATAATCAGCATCATCAGCAGCAGCAACATCATCATCACAACCACCGCCACCATCACCACCATTCCCACTACCACCACCACTATCATCATCATCAGCAGCAGCATCATCATCGTCATCATCATCATCATCAGCAGCAGCAGCATCATCAGCATCAGCATCGCCATCGTCATTGTCATCAGCATCATCATCCAGTATCAGTATCAGCATCATCAGCAGCATCACCATCACCATCACCATCACCAGCACCATCACCAGCACCAGCACCATCATCATCATCATCATCATCATCAGCAGCATCATCATCGTCATAATCAGCATCAGCATCACCATCTATCATCATCAACATCAGCAGCAACACCATCAGCATCATCATCACCATCACCATCATCATCATCGTAATCACCAACATCTCCAACATCTCCATTCTCTCCATCATCACCTCCATCCATTCATACAGGGTCTGGTTTGGGGGGCATATCTAAGGTATCCGGCGGCCGATCGGAACGGTGGGGCAACACCAGAACGCTCTTTGCGAGGCGCAGCTGCTGGAAAGCATTCCGAGGCAGAAAAACCTCCAGGGACCATCGAAAACCCAAACAACGAACTTGCGCGCAGCCGACCTATGGTGTCCCTCATTCGTTCCTCCTCAAGCAGACACCTGCGCCTCGGCCTGCACCACCTCCTCCGTGGCTTCCTTCGTTGTGCTCTCGATCCGGAAGGCCTTCCAGGGGCGCGTACCGCCCTCCTCCTCTTCCATCCTCCTCCTCCCTCCTCCTCCTCCTCCTCCTCCTCCTCCACCTCCTCCTCCTCCTCCTCATCATCATCATCATCACCAGCATCATCATCATCAATCATCATCACCACCACCACCACCACCACCACACCACCA